GAGGAGGAGGAGGAGGAGGAGGAGGAGGAGGAGCAGGAGCAGGAGCAGGAGCAGGAGCAGGAGCAGGAGCAGGAGCAGGAGCAGGAGCAGGAGCAGGAGCAGGAGGATCGAGGCAGAGTAGGAGGATGGAGGCAATAGGGGACAGGAGCAGGAGCAGGAGCAGGAGTAGTTTCGGCCTCCGGGGGCCCTCGCTAGGCCCCAGGGCCGTCAAAAAGTTGCCCCGGAGGAGAAACGGGCCTCGGGCAAAAGATCGAGACCTGTTGTGCAGAAATCACGACGTCGGGGATCGGGGGAGCAGGCTCCGTTCCAATCGGTACGATCGCGGGGAGGGTCGCGGGTGTGTCGCGGGTGGGTCGCTGGGCGGGTCGCGGGGGCGGGTTGCGGGGCGGGCCGCGGGGCGGGTCGCGCAAGGCGGCTCGCAGGGCCCGGGGCCCGGGGCGGGTCGAGGGGGGGCGACGACGGCAGACAACAAGCAGAAGCAGCGCCGCTGGGCTCCGCCTCGGCCACGCACTCAGGGAGTGACCGTTCTATGGGGCCACACGCGAACCCTACCTCTGCCCCCCACGGTTTCTGAGGGGGAGGGTGGGGTTCCCTTCGCTCGGGAGCTCCCAAACGAAATGAACCCCATCCTCCCTCTCAGAAGTCGTGGGAGGTAGGGGTAGGGTTCGCTTGTGGCCCCCTACGTTCGGCCCCCTCACTCTGACCAAAATCGGCAGCAGGTCTTTCCCATTCTGAACAAGACTTGCTCTCGGTGTCGCTGTAGACGCCGGCCACGTGAGACAAGAGGGCGCCTGCTCAACAGCGGCCGCTGTCGGTTTTGGACAACATGTGTTGTTGGGCATCGGATCAGTTTTCCCATAACCCATGTCGGGCGTCCACCAATAATGCATCTTCCTGCTCATCCTCCAGCTCATTCGCCACCTCCTGGAGTCCCCTCCCATGCCGCAGAACCATGCGTCGCTGCACCGGCCGTATGCATGCTGCCCAGAAGACGTTGACAGGAGACTAGAGGACCTTGGGCTCAGGAGGGGCTCTGGTTTTCGGGCCGTCCCTCAGATCCAGGTCGGGGAGCCTGTTCGTCTTCGAGGCTCGCCGTGACCAAGAATGTCCATTCGTTCTTTATTCAGCGTTCCTTCTGGCAGCAGGATGTCTGTATGCAATCACATAGCCCGCATGAGTTCGTGCGCAAGTGTATACGCACGCACGACTTTGCAAGTGTAAATGTGCGCCTGGATGTACATGCGGGGAGGGACGCACAGGGTGCGGGGAAAGCGTCACACCTTATCAAGCATGTGATGCAGTTGGGCCACATTTTTCGTCCCCTGGCGATAATGGGCGTGACTGGGGGGGGGAGGGGGGAGGGGGTCACGTCACGATTCGCGCCAGCGCCGTCTCGGAGTGCTTAGGAATGACCAATTCCAACACGGCGCCAGCGCGAATCGTGACGTCACCCGGGGCTGGTGGAAGGGGAGGTGCGGGACTGGCAACGGGTGTGATCTCGAACATCGGGCGTTGCGCAACGGGGGGCGATCCATCGGGGGGCGAAGAGAGGTGAGCTTTTTGTGCCCAAAAGGGGCTCCACAGGACCCCCCCGGGGGCCCACGGGGCGCGAGAGGTGCACACCCCCTCCCCTCCTCCTCCATCGCCTCCCCACGACGTAGCGCCCAGGCGAGTGGCAAACTGGCTCTCCGGGAATGCAGAGGGAGAGGGACCGTCCACGGGCTGCGCCGCGCCCCCCCCCCCCTCCTCCTCCTCCTCCTCCTCCTCCTCCTCCTCCTCCTCCTCCTCCTCCTCCTCCTCCTCCTCCTCCCGGCGCAGGAGGAGCGGTGGTGGGCGTGGCGCCGGGCGGTGTGCTCGCTGGCCAGGCCGCCTCCGGGGCAGCGCGGGGGAAGGGCGCAGTCGGCAGGCATCCGAGCCCCAAATCATTCGGGGTTGGACAGGACCCCCAACAGTGACACGTCGATTAGTGACTTCTCCGTTTTCGGTTCTCGAGAGGGCGCCGCGGCCGTTATTTTCCAGGGTTGCGCCCGCCAGGTTTGGGCCTCAGGTCGTTTTCACTGAACCACGTTTTACTAAAGGGAGGTCTGTCCATTCCCGAATCATCAGTGGTAACTCGGGTCAGGGCTAACCCGGGTTCGTTTTTCGGGATTCCGAACCCGACTTGCCCCGGACCCGACTTACCCCGGATAACTCGGGCGTCCAGAGCCCCAAATCATCAGGGGTATCTCGGGTCAGGGCTAACCCAGGTTGGTTGGGTTTTCGGGAATCCAAGCCCGAATCGCCCCGGACCCGAGTTACCCCGGATAGTTCGGGCGCCCAAATGCAGATGGGGTCGGCATGCAGGCGGGGTCGGAGAAACGCGCCACGTCGCCGATGCAGCGGCGATGCGGCCCGATGTCCAGGCGGTCGCGAACGTGGATTAGGGGGGCGTGGATTAGCGACGGGTCGCGCTTCCTCGGGAAGTCGCGGATTTCCGCCGCCGAGCGAGGCGGCACCGGCCGCATTTTGAGGAGGGCACCTCCCCCGATCCATGGATTTGGCGACCGCGCGCCTGATACATTGGTCGCTAATTCATTTTTGCGCGCCCCCGAGCATCGGCGATGCGACCCGATGTGGAGTCCGACTTTCTCCACCCTGGCGTCGCCCATGCATCGCAGACGTCGCCTATGCATCGACGATGTACCGCCGATGCTCTGGCGATGCGGCGCGATCCTCCGACTCCATCTGCTCCGACCCCACCAGGGAGTCTTCTCTCTATCGGAGGTGGAGGGTTTGGAACGGAAGTGACCCCAACCGGGAAATCGGTTTCGGTTTCGGTTCGTGTCGTGCGTGCGGGCGAGGCGAAGATGCGCGAGTTCCATCCACAGCAGAGGCCATCTATTGCCAAAATGGCCGCCCCCCAAGCGCCGGTAATGGCCCCCGGTTGTCCCTGCGGTTGTCCCGATGGTTGTGGTTGTCCCGATGGTTGTCCGCATGGTTGTCCCGATGGTTGCCCCGATGGTTGTCCTGATGGTTGTCCCGATGGTTGTCCCGATGATTGTCCCGATGGTTGTCCGATGGTTGTCCCGATGGCTGTCCCGATGGTCGATAGATAGAAAGATAGGTATCGATGTTTTTATACGTTGTCCCGATGGTTGTCCCGATGGTTGTCCTGATGCTTGATATAGAGTTAGTTTGGCATGTTGAGATATACATGCATATCTATAGTTACATAATGCTGTGGTGGGATCCATGTATATATATATATATATATATATATATATATATATATATATAACTGTAGCTATCAATCGAGATATGTACATATATGTTAATCGTAGAAATGTAGATAGAGATACACACATACGTATACGTATAGATCGATGTATAGGGATATATGTGTATATATGTATTATTTACACACATATACATGTATATATATATATACATGGATCGGTTAATATAGGCATCTATAAACATACCTATTGGTTGATTGAGCGATCGACTGGTAAGCTGAGATACATATATATATAGATATGTATATATAGATATGTCTAGGAATGTATAGACACACGTGCGGTTGTCCTAAAGAGATAACATACCTATGGGTTGATAGATCGATGGGCAGATGTGCGCGACAGTACAAACATGGAAGGAACCACTAAAGAATCCAGAGCCATCGCAAATCGACCGCCTCCCCCTTCCCCCCAAACCTCCTTATCACCAGTAGGGTGGTCTTATTGGAATGAATATGTACACATCGGAGTGACCCTTCGCAGGAGTGACCTCTGGTGCGGGCCCGGCGGAGTCCCCCGATTGGTGAATGCGATGCAGCAGCAGCGGCGTCCGCGCTCGGGTTTGCCCCCTCCCCCACCCCCCCCCTCAAGGCACACAGCAAAGGCCACTTTTGCCCAGGGTCACCCCCTGCGTGCAGCCGAGAAGCGGGGGGCGGATTCCGTGTCAACGCTACAGTCGGGGCCCTGAAGGAACCCTTTTCGTTGGGGAGGGGCTCCGCGCTCCTTAAGTGTTTCGCAGCTTGCCTCGGGTTTTCCTTGTGTTTTCGATCGGATATCGAAGTTTAGCTTATGGAGAAGGGGCCTCGTTCCTTATTTTGGGTTCCTTGGGTCAAGGCCCCGACTGTAGCGGAGAACGGGTGGAGGGGGGGAGCCAGGAGCCTCGCGGAAGCCAAGGGTGTTCGCGGCTCGGTGGGTTGGGCTGCGTCGCAGTCGGGTGCGTTCGGTCGGTTCGGTTCGTTGTCGCGTCGCCGCGCCCTTCCAGGCTGCTTTTGGCCTGCCGATTCTGGTCGGGCTCCGTTTCGCTGTCGGTTCGGTCGGCGTTCGATTTTTTGTTGTCGCCGTGCACGGCCTTGCGTTGAAGGGGCCCGATGGTTTCCGGGCTTTCTCGTTGGTGGGATGCTCCCCAGCAGCCGCGTCTCGCAGATGGCCTTTCCAGGGGTGCCAGAGTCGTCCCGGACGGCCGCGGGAGAGTCGAGCCATGGCCCGAGCGTTGCTCTCTCTTTATGGGCAGCGAGCAACGATATGGAGGGATAGGCTCAGGATTGGGAACCCCCAAACCGGGTGGTGAGATACCAGGTACTCCTCGGCCCACCAGTGTCCGGGACATCCTCGGAAAACCGCACGAGTCCCCAAACAGGGTGGTGACACCAAATCGCCCGAGACTCACCACCAGGTATTGTCACCACCACGTTTGGGGGACTACCAACAGGAGGGATGCGTCGACCTCCGATCGCCCGTGGACCGCCGTTAGGGGCCCGATTGCCCACCCCGCCGAGGAGCGTGCTGCTTCGCTATAAGGGGCATGTCGCCGGTCTAGCGTTGCGTCGCCGCTTCTGGATTCATGTGTGTGTCTCTCTCTCTCTTTCTCTGAGCCAGCCCCCCCCCCTGAACGTTCCCCCTCCGGGGAGCAGACGACCGACGTGTTTTGATCAGCTGTGTTTTGCTCGCTGTCGACTTCGCACGACTCCCCCGGGGTGCTGAGGCAACAGTCGTTGCCCCATAACCTGACCCCGAACCATACCTCTGGGTCGGTGTTGGAGGTCGCCGCGGCGATCGCGGCCTGTCACAATTCGGGGCGAGGTCGTGTTGTCAAGGAGTAGCATGCCCCTTCCCAGCCACCTCCCGCTCTGCAGTGCAGACGCGGCTGCTACAACAGCGTAGCGGCAGAGAGGTGTCAATGCATGTCCAGCATGGGCAGACATGTTTTTCTCAGGAGCGAAAGGAGGACGTACACGTACATGAATCCACGCTGGTTTCGAGAGTACGCATTGCGCGCATGTTCGTATCAGGCGGCGGGTCTCGCGGATCGAGGGGCCGTGTTCATGTACATGGTTGGGCGCGTACGCCTTTCGAGGGCTCCCTAAACATGGGCAGACATATTGTTTTGGTTAGGGGCCGACTATCACGCAACCGAGCCAGCACCACGCGTGAGGTGCTGCACGTCCCTGGCGTGCCACCCCCGTCCTGGTCTCCCTCGGCATCATGACGCCATTATCGCAGAGAGGATGTCGTTCGGAAAGCGATAGGGTGGGCCCGGAGTGTCCTGGAGAACTTCGTTCTGAATTTCGATGTGAATTTCGTGCGGATTCTTTTGGCCAGGAACGAAGACTAAAAAAATCCACGCGAAATTCACTTCATTTTTCGCTCGCCGCTTCGGGCAAACATCCACGCAGAAATCCACGCAAAAGTCCGTTGCAGCACGTCTGCAGGGCCAGTGCCATGAGACCTGGTCTCCCTCGGTATTCCGGCTGTCGCTATCCGACGCCTCGTGTCCCACGTCGCCTCTGGGGCCCCCAAACGGGGTTGTGACCACACCGCCGTGTGGTGGGTCGGTGGGGATTCGGGGTGACCGCACGGTTTTGGAACTCGGGTCGTTCTCCGAGGACGTCTCGGGCGACAGGGGCCTCCAGGGTCCCAAGACCGTGCAGTGACGGACCGTGCGGTGAGGTCTTGGGGAATTTCGAGGTCACCGCACGGTCTGCCACCGCACCGTTTTGGAACTCCAAAGTCACCACTGACCAGAATGCCCTCTGCTTGATGCGGTAGTGTTTGGAGGTGATGGGCCTGCTTTCCACCACCGCCACCATAAGTTGGAGGGGGGAAGGAGGTGGAGGACGAGGAGGAGGAGAACGAAGAAGAGGAGGAGGAGGAGGAGGAGGAGGAGGAGAGGAGGAGACGGAGGAGGAGGAGGAGGAGGAGGAGGAGGAGGAAGAGGAGGAGGAGGAGGAGGAGGAGGAGGAGGAGGAGGAGGAGGAGGAGGAGGAGGAGGAGGAGGACCCCTCCCCTCCTCCCCTCCTCCTCCTCCTCCTCCATCCTCATCCTCATCCTCATCCTCATCCTCATCCTCATCCTCATCCTCATCCTCATCCTCCTCTTCTTCGTCATCCTCCTCCTCGTCCTCCACCCCGTTCCCCCCTCCAACTTATGGTGGCGGTGGTGGAAAGCAGGCCCATCCGTTGGTCTCTGGGGGTGTTCGCCTGGTCTTTCGCCGGATTTGGTTTTCGCCGGATTTGGCTTTCGCCGGGGATGGCTTTCGCTGGGGATGGGCGCGGGCTCAAACGGGCGGGGCGGGTCGGGCGGGCGGACCCTGACGGGAGGGACGCATCGGGTCGGGTCGGGCGGACCCTAACGGGCGGGTCGCGTCGGGCGTGGGCGGGGCACTAAAGTGTGGGGCGCGCTCGAAAGAGCATGCGTGAATCCTGACGGGCGGGTCAGGCGGGCGTACCCTAACGGGCGGGATGGGTTGGGTCGGGTCGGGCGGACCCTGACAGGCGGGTCGGGTCGGGTGGGCGGGCCACTAAGTGTGGGGCGCGCTCGAGTGAGCACGTGTCAGCCCTAACGGGCGGGTCGGGTCGGGCATGCGGACCCTGACGGGGGGGACGGATCGGGTCGGGTCGTGCGGACCCTGACCGGCAGGTCGGGTCGGGTGGGCTGGGCACTGAAGTGTGGGGCGCGATCGAGTGAGCGCGTGTGACCCCTAACGGGCGGGTCGGGTCGGGCGGGCGGATCCTAGCGGGCGGGACGGGTCGGGTCGGGTCGGGCGGACCCTAACGGGCGGGTCAGGTCGGGCGGGCGGGACATTAAAGTGTGGGGCGCGCTCGAGTGAGCACGTGCGAACTCTAACGAGCGGGTCGGGCGGGCGGACCCTAACGGGCGGGACGGATCGGGTCGGGCGGAACCCTAACGGGCGTGTCGGGTCGGGCAGGCGGGACACTAAAGTGTGGGGCGCGCCCGAGCGAGCACGCGTGAACTCGAACGGGCGGTTCGGGTCGGGCATGCGGACCCTGACGGGCGGGACAGGTCGGGTCGGGTCGGGCGGACCCTAACGGGCGTGTCGGGTCGGGCGGGCGGGACACTAAGTGTCGGGCACGCCGGAGGGAGTACCCGTGGCGTGAACTCTAACCGGCGAGTCGGGTCGGGCAGGCGGGCCCTCACGGGCGGGACGGGTCGGGTCGGGTCATGCGGACCTTAATGGGCGGGTCGGGTCGGGCAGGTGGGATGCTAAAGTGTGGGAGCGCCAGAGCGAGCACGCGTGAACCCTAACGGGCGGTTCGGGTCGGGCGGGCGGACCCTAACGGGCGGTTCGGGTCGGGTCGGGCAGGCGGGGCCCTAGAGTGTGAGGCGCGCTCGAGTGAACACGCGTGAAACCTAATGGGCGAGTCAGGTCGGTCGGGCGGACCCTAACGGGCGGGGCGGGTTGGGTCGGGCGGGACACTAAAGTGTGAGGCACGCCAGAGCGAGCATGCGTGAACTCGAACGGTCGGGTCGGATCGGGCAGGCGGACACTGACGGGCAGGACGGGTCGGGTCGGGTCGGGCGGACCTTACTGGGCGGGTCGGGTCGGGCAGGCGGATTTCTAAAGTGTGGGGCGCGCCTGAGCGAGCACGCGTGAACCCTAACGGGCGGTTCGGGTCGGGCGAGCGGACCCTAACGGTTGGGACGGGTCGTGTCGTGTCGGGCGGACCCTAACAGGCGGGTCGGGCGGGCGGGCGGGACATTAGAGTGTGGGGCGCGCCGAAGCGAGCACGCGTGAACCCTGACGGGCGGTTCGGGTCGGGCGGGCGGACCCTCAAGGCCGGGACGCGTCGGGTCGGGTCGGGCGGACCCTAACGGGCGGGTCGGGTCGGGCGGGCTGGGCACTGAAGTGCGGGGCGCGCTCGAGTGAGCACGCGCGCACCTTGACGGGCGGGTCGGATCGGGCGGGCGGACCCTAACTGGCGGGGCGGGGCGGGTCGGATCGGGCGGACCCTGACGGGCGGGTCGGGTCGGGCGGGCGGGGCACTACAGTGCGGGGCACGCCCGAGCGAGCACGCGCGCACGTCGCACTGACTGACCCTGGGCCTCAGGGGGGCCGGAGCAAGGGCGGTGTGCATGTGTCGGTCAGGCCGTCTTAGGAAGAAGGCGGGGGTGTGTATTTCCAGTGCTGCCTCGGGAACGCAACGGAGCTCCAGCCAACCGGCCGCGGGCAAGAGGTGCCAAAGGAGGAGAGGAGGAAAATGAGCAGCAGTAGCAGCAGCATAAAAGGACGTGAGCGGGAGGAGGAGAAAAGGGCGAACACGAACCACTGCGAAAATCATCCCGGACGAAACACCAACCCGGGCGAAAACCAACCCAGGCGAAAGCCAACCTGGGCGAAAGCCCAGCCGGGCGAAAGCCAAGCCGGGCGAAAGCCAAGCCGGGCGAAAGCCAACCCGGGCGAAAGCCAACCCGGGCGAAAGCCAACCTGGGCGAAAGCAAGCCCGGGCGAAACGAACCAGGCGAAACGAACCGGGCGAAAACCAACCCAGGCGGAAAACAACCATCTTTGCTGTCAGGGTTATTTGCACCCCGACGTGTCACTGTGGGGGCATAACTATACTGTCCCACCGCGCTGGGACAGGCGCTCCCACTGGCAGAACAGCAGGTGCAATTCTGTTCTTCGTCCACTCCCCGCCTCCCCCGAATTGACTTTAGGTCGAGCCTGTCCCTCTACAGGGGGATTTTGGACGTGACTAAAAAGTAGGCAAACAAATACACAACATATGATTTTAAAAATCGACCCCAGACTATTTTCTGACCATTTTTGACGCCCGACTCACAACTGACTGCGGGTCACAGCTCGGGCCTCTGGCCGCCGTCCGGCGCGACCTGGGCAGCCCGAGAGACGGCAGCCGGCGAGGCGCTCCGCGGCTGGAGAGCACCCTGAGCCGCCAGGGAGCCTCGGAGTGGTCTCCCTCCTCCTCCTCCTCCTCCTCCTCCTCCTCCTCCGGCCGACCCCCCCACCCTTCCTTCCGCTGACCTGGGGCTTGGTTTGGTAACCACGATTCGCCTGGGTCGGTTCGCGACAGGGCCTTGACCCACCCGGCTTGGCGCTGACCCGGGTCAGTGCGTCCCCGAAGTTTTCGGGCGTCGAAGGTGCGATGCACGGGGGTGTGCGAACAATAGTGCACCTTTCTTGCGCCATAGGAAGGGGCCCCCTGGGGCTTACAAGGGCCCCAAGGGTGCACGTCTTCCCCCCCCCACCCACCCCTTTTTTGGCCGCCCCCCTGCGAATTTGCGCCTGATTGGAGGCTTGGAATTTGGCACCAACACCAACACACGGGCATGACTCAACCGGGGGAAGATGATCCTAGAATTCGGTGTTGGTGTTAGTACTTCGGCCAGCTAGGAAGCCAAACTGTTACCACCATCACCCAGATCGGGAGCACCTTCCCTTGGTGGAGGCACACCGCCGATATTGGTGTTGGTGTCAACCTAGGCCTGCGAAGGAGGAGGAGGAGGAGGAAGAGGAGGAGGAGGGAGGAGGAGGGAGGAGGAGGGAGGAGGAGGGAGGAGGAGGGAGGAGGAGGGAGGAGGGAGGGAGGAGGAGGGAGGAGGGAGGGAGGAGGAGGGAGGAGGAGGGGCGGGGAGGGAGGAGGGAGGAGGGGAGCTTCCCTGGGGAGAGGTCGTCCTACCCCCGCGGCCGGCGCCTGCGCGTGATGGTGCTGGAGATCGGGTGCGGCAGCAACGTCCCGACCGTGCGGCAGGCCGCGAGGGGGAGAGCTCCTCGGGCGCCCGGGGAGCGGGGAGGGCGTCCATCATCACGCGTCGGGCCTGTCCCCCTACGTACAGGGGGATCTTCGACGAAGAATTCACAATACCCGAAAGATGCACCAAGAAGGTAGAACAACTATGCAAAAGCTATCGTCAGGTGTCGGGCCTGTCTAAAACGACGCGAGGATCGGGAGAAAATCGGATCGGGATCACTCGAAATCTCGGAGAATCGGCGGGTTTGGAGGACGTATTGGGCGCCGCGGCCGCTCCAGAGCGCTCCGGAACGCTCTGAGAGCGCTCCGGAACGCTCTGGAGCGATTTATCTCGATCCTAGCCCTGTTTTATTGTCCCCCTCCAGGTGGGTTTTCGAGGAAAAATGAACAATACCCCAGAAATACACCAAAAAGGTAAAACAAATATGCAAAACATAGTCTCCAGACTATTTTTGGGCTATGTTTTGATTCTTTTTTGGGCATTTTTGATTTTTCGTCGAAGATCCCCCCTGTAGGGAGACAGGCCCAACTTCAGTCTATAAAGCAGTGGCGAAGCGTCCCGGCTAGCCTAGAGGCCCACCAGAGAATGTTCTAAGAGCCTTTTGTGGTTTGCACGAAATGCTCTTGGGACATTTCTGGCTGAGTCTGCTTTGTTTCAACACCTCGGGTTTATGTTCTAAGCGCATTCTTTTGTTCTTGGAGCATTTCTGGGTTCTAAGAGCACTTCGTGGTAGGCCTGTGGAGATGCCGGGACGGTCGGTCCCTGCTCAAGTCTAGGCCTCCCAGATGGGGTCGGAGTAAATGGGGTCCGAGGATCGCGCCGGATCGCCAATGCATCGCCGTTGCACCGGCGATGCGGCTCGACGTGGAGCCCGATTTGCCCCGCTCCGACGTTGCCGATGCATCGCCGATGCATCGCCGATGCGTCGGCGATGCGGTGCATTCCTGCGGCCTCATCCGCTCCGACCCATCTGGGAGGCCTCCTGGGAGGGGCCAGGGAGGGGCACTCGAAGAGACAGAAGATCAGGAGGGAAAAAACACACACACACAGACACAATTAATCCTCGATTCCCCCGAAAACATGGGAAAATATGGGAAGTGGGTGGGAAGACAGAAACCCAGAAAATGTGGGAAAAATATGGGGAGTATTTTTATATGTTGTGTGTATTTAGTGTGTGTGTGTGTGTGTGTGTGTGTGTGTGTCCTGGGGCCCCTTCAGAAGAAGGTGCACAGGCGCAAGCTGCCGGAGATCTGCGCGGGTGCCGCGGAGCCGCGCCGGGCCCTTCCCTGGCGGCGGCGCCTCCAGGGGCCGCCCCTGGCGCGCTCTGCGCGCCGAGGGGGCGGAGGTCCAGCGGCGGTGCGAGAGGTCAGCGCGGGCTGCTGAAGGTTCTCCCTTGTGTCATTGTGCGTCCCCCAAGAGGCCGACCCGGATACGTCCTTAGACGTCATCGCACGTCTTCCTCGCGCCGTCCTGGCGTCGTCGTGCGTCTTCCTCGTGTCTTCTGCTCTCCCTCGTGCCGTTGTGTACGTCTTCCTCGCGGCAGTGTGCGTCCCCCGAGGCTGTGTGTCGTATACCCGTCCCCCGAGAAGTTGGGGGGCCGTTCCCCGGGAAGCTCTTCGGCCTCGCGGGGGCCCTCGGCGGGCCCCCGGGCCCTGAAGACACGGGCTCGGCCGGAGCGCCGGCTCCCGGGGGAAGCTGTCCAGGGCCCACGCCTCGAACGGAGTGGAGCGGCCAGAGGTCCAGGGGGGACGCGAGGGGGGGGAGGGGCAGGGCGAGAGGAGAGGGACGGCAGCTGTCTTTGCTGCTAGAACTGGCCTTTCGCTTTCCTTGCATCGGGCGGCCTTCAGTGAATGAAATGAGTGGGCGGGTACACTAAAAAAGGAGGCCTCGCACCCAGTCGCAGCTCAGTCCAGAAGCCTCTCCCGGTAGGCGCCTCACTCCCACTGTATATAAGAGGGAGTGGCACGCATCGACGAGGAAGAACTTTACGATCTATACACACATACATATATATATATATATATATATATGTATGTATGTGAAAGAGCGTGTTCTACCGCTGCTGGCGGAAAACCGGGAGGGGGGTCACTGGGGGTTCCCAACCCGTCCCCCCCTTCCCCTCGAAAACTGGGGGGGTCACTACCGGTTCGACCCCCCCCCGCCCAGTCCATCATGAAAAGGGGGGGGGTCACTGCCGGTTCGACCCCCCCCTCGAAAATCCCGGGGGGTCATTGCAGGTTCGAACCCCCTCCTTCCTGGCCGCCGGCAACCGATTCCCGCACCTCGGGGCAGATGGACAATGGCGGGGATACTGGGACAGTGGTGGGGACGGTGGTGGTGGGGACAGTGGGACAGTGGTGGGGGCGGTGGTGGGGGTAGTGGTGAGGGGACAGTGGTGAGGGGACAGCGGGACAGTGGTGGGGACACTGGGACAGTGGTCGGGGCGGTAGTGGTGGGGACAGTGGTGAATGCGGTGTTGAGGACGGTGGTGGGACAGTAGTACAGTGGGCAGAGAGGTGGGGACAGTGGGGACAGTGGGACAGCACAGTGGGACAGCGGCGGGGACAGTGGGGACAGTGGGACAGTGGTTCAAACAGTGGGGACAGTGGGGACAGTGGGACGGTGGTGGGGACCGTGGGGAAAGCAGGGAGAGTGGGACAGTGAGACACTGGTGGTGGTACTGGTGGGGATAGCGGGAACAATGGTGGGAACTGTGGGGACGGTGGGACGGTGGTGGGGACTGGGACAGTGGTGGGGACGGTGGTGGTGGGGACAGTGGTGAAGGCGGTGGTGAGGACGGTGGTGGGACAGTACTACAGTGGGGAGAGTGGTGGGGCGAGTGGGGACAGTGGGCCAGTGGTGGGGGCAGTGGAGACTGTGTGACAGCACAGAGGGGGGGGGGTGGGTGGGTTTTCCAGAAGGAGGGGGGTTGGTAGTGACCCCTCCCGGTGGTTCGAGTGTTCTGGAGGGGCGGGGTGGGGTTCGAACCGGTACTTTCGAGGGGTGGGGGGGGGGGTAGGGGGTTTCGAACCGGTAGTGACCCCCCTCGGTTTTCGAGGGGAGGGGGGTTTCGAACTGGTAGTGACCCCCTCCCGGCTTCCCGGACGGGTGGGGGGGAGGGGTTAGGGGTGGGGGGGGGCTTCCGGGGGGAAGGGGGGGGAGGGGGGGGTTAAAGGGAGGGGAGGGACCCCGAGCTCCAGAGGAAGAGGGGGGGGATTTTTCCATAGTGAAGCGGCGGTGGACCACGCTTTTTTTTTTTTTTTTTTTTTTCTCTTCTCTCTCTCTCTCTCTCTCTCTCTTTTATGTATGTGTATATATATATATATAAATATATATATATATATAGATAGGTATACAATTTAATCTAATATAGTATACTTCACGGGCGCCTGCATCTGCGCGACTCCAACACATAATGGCTGCGGCCCTTCTAGCCCTTCCCTCCGCGGACACGCTCCGGCGCGATGGCGGCGGTTCGTTCGATCGTTCGCTCACATGCCCTCGGAGCGCACAGAGCTCTGGGCACGAGCTGCCTGCGACGGATCGGCCTTCACTGTTCACTACGCCTTTCTAGAGGCCATCTGGACCCATTTCCTCCTCCTCCTCCTCCTCCTCCTCTTCCTCCTCCTCCTCCGCCGCCTCCTCCTCCTCCTCCTCCTCCTCCTCCTCCTCCTCCTCCTCCTCCTCCTCCCCTGTCGCTTGCGGAAGAAGCGCGGCGGCCCAGCCCATGCTGATGGAGATCAGGCGGCAGCGCTCCCGAGTTCGGCTTCGGCGCCCTGGAGTGCTGTGGAGCATGGTGATGGCGAGTTGGCCGTGGGTGAGGATGGCATGTGCTCTTCCTCCTCACGGCTGACGACAGAGGAGGACAGCGCTGCAGCGCCCCACCCCCGACAGCAAGAGCGCACAGTCACCGGGCAGAGCGCTCCCCGCGGGCGAGCGCGCCAGCCCTGGAGCCGAGGCGCCCAGAGGCGCCGGCGGGGCAGGGCCGCCCACTGTCCGACCCAATGCGGTCCGACTCGCAGGCCGGTGCCGCGATCAGTTCTGGCCCGATGATCGCAGGCGATTTTTCTCCCCCAGCTTTATGATGTTCCAGCCTTATGTTGTTTTGATCACCAGAAAGAGTTTCGAGCACCAAAAACGTACCGAAACTCGATGGTTTCACGTGTCGGGCCCAGGGAAAAGCTCGTCCGACAATGTTTCGACACTCTTTCCACACTTTTCCGGGTACTCGAAAGTCATCATAGGCTATGGTCCTTAGGTACGATGGGAGCAACATAATCCCAACCCCTGAGTTTTCAACGAAAAAAATGACACCGGTCAGAAAATTAGGGAAAACTCTGGGACACACCCCTGCAGGGTGCCATCTGGGCGCACCCCTCACGATCAGTCCTGGTTCGATGAGAGTCGAAGAAGAGAAACGCCAGAAACATACAGTTTTTGCGCTCCGCGCGGATTTCGTTGATCCGCGCCAGGCCGCCCCCGCGGCGCCTCCGGCGCCGCCCCTGGCGCGCTCCGCGCCCCAGGTCCGTCGCAGATCCAAGAATTGTGCGCGGAACGCCAAAAGTTAACGTTTTCGCCGTTTCCTCTTTCTCTGTGAGAGAAGGCTCGGCTCAGCGGCGTCGGCCGGGGCCAGCTGGATCCGTGCGCGGCGAGCCGAAGCCAATGCGGTTCGGGACGGCTCGCGGGCTGTCCGACCTGTTTCCGACGCGATCCGATCTCGCCATTCGATGCGGCTCGTGCGTGCCGGGCGGGGTTACCTTTCCTACCAGGGGGCCACGTGCGAACCCTTACCCCTACCCCCCACGATTTCTGAGGGGGGGGGGGTTCACTTCGCTCGCGAGTTCCCGAACGAAGGGAGCCATCCTCCCCCTCAGAAATCGTGGGGGGTAGGTGTGGGGTTCGCATGCGGCCCCCTATCTACGATAGACCCTCAACGAATCAAAAGCACACACACACACGATGCACGAGTTCCCTTGGCGGCGTCAGCCCACGCGGAGAG